TACTTATATTTAACAATTTAATGTCTTATGTTTATATTTATTATTTTAATTTATGACCAAAATCACAATATATACAAGACGATTTTTTTTTTATTCCTTTTTGTCTTTTTTACTGACTGGTAACGGGATCGCAACCCTCGGTGTCGCGCCCATACCGGGGACCGGCAATGGGATCGCAACCCTCGGTGTTGCACCCGCACCGCGCTCAGCCAGTGAGCGGGAACCGGTCTCCACATGGGATCCGAACCCTCGGTGGGAGCGCGGGTGCACTCTCCAGTGCGCCACTGGGCCGGCCCTATACAAGATGATTTTATATAATAAAACTTGATTATAACATTCTATTATATTTTATACAACTATTAAAAACAATTATACTATAAACTAATCTAAACAAAATCTATTAATATCAAAAACCTACTTTTATATTTTTATTGTTTTAGCTATTCATCTTTATAGTAAAACTTTCTAATTTTTTTAGCAATTGACTCTGGGAACAGTACAAGGAACAAAGTGAAAAGTTAAATGATCCTACTCAAACTAACGAAAACGCAATATATCATTCTTATTATCACTAGGGAAACAACATGTTCTTGGAGAATCAAGTGAAACTGTGGGAGTGGGGAGAAACAAAGAAATCTGTAGCTGGTTGATGATTACTGCACTCGGACCCACCGTCTCCCTGGAATGTAAATAGAAACCTAACATAATAGCTTCATTCCACAGGTACAGGAGCATGACTACAGCCACAGTAGGTCCATGCACACATCACTAACAAGGAAGATTAATGACAAAATTAAATGGAGCCAACCCCTACTGGGAACATGCATCAAAAACACCTTTAGTACTACTGGGAACATGCATCAAAAACACCTTTAGTACTGACAATATCTTTTAAATAAACCAGTTGATTTTGATGTATTTTAACATGTCCTTTGAGAAACCTCAGGGAATTTCCCAAAGTCATACTAAGCCAAAAGGTTAGGCTGTTTAATCCTGGGAAGCCTCATCAAGCAACCAAAGGTGGACACACAAGAACTTCCATGGAGCCGTGCCACACACATGGGACCCCCTTGTAGCCTGCAGAACAAGGGGTATCATTAAGGCTCCCATGCCGTTCCCTATAGCAGGACGGCTCACGGCACCTGAAGAGCAAGGATCAGTCCTTTCAGAGCCTGCTCAGGGCCCCATCCCTGATCCCACCATCTGCTCCTAGAATCCAGGATCAGCGTGTCTGGGAGAAATAAACACGTACCCATGAGCCTCTGGGTGAATCCATCTTCTTCTCAATCGCTGTGTTCTAACAAAACCACTTTACCCCTTGTCTTAGTCCATTTTCTGTAGCTTATAACAGAATACCTGAAACTGGGTAATTTATAAAGGAAAGAAATTTATTTCTTACAATGGAGGCCAAGGTTCAGGGGCTTATCTGATGAGGGTCTTTTTCCTTGTGGGGACTCTGCAGAGGCCCAAGGTGGCACAGCGCATCACATGACGAGGGTGGCAAGAGCATGCTAACATGCTCACTTGCTCTCCTTATAAAGCACCAGTGCCCTCCTGTGAAAACCCATTTATTCATCAACCCATTCGCCCATTCATGAGGGCAGCATGAATCAATTGCCTCCCAAATGCCCTACCTTTCAAATATCATGGTCAGACTGCCTACCCTCTTAACATGGTTACAACGGGGATCAAGGTCAGTATAAATTTTAGGAGGACATTCAAACTATAGCACCTCTCCTTTCCTCCTCTGCCCTGCCCCTTCATTTCCAGAGCTCACCTCTTCCTCCAACATCAAGAACTCCTTCTTCTTCCCTTCACATGACCATGTAAGTAGAGGCCTTGTTATTACAAAAGGGAAAGAGTGGCTTGATTCTGAAGATATGAATTGAGGCCCCTTCACCTGGTCTTGTGACCCGAGATTAGTCTCAGAGGAACCCACTTCCCAGAATCAGGAGGGGTGTGAAGTGAGAAGAAAAGAGGAGAA